TGGGTGAACTAACTGATTTAGATGAATACACACTGTTGTATAAATGGACTGAAGGATTAGATGATGCAATGGGCACCTTTAAAATGGGTGTGAAGTGACAAGAGTTGTAGCAGAGAAAGATGGGGCTTTTCTTGCCTCCTTGGGTGCTTAAAAAGAACAGTCTTGAGGCCAGGGGCAGTGACTCACCTGTAATCTCAATACTTTGGGAGACTAACACAAGTGGATCACTTAAGCCCAGGGGTTCAAGACCAGACTGGACAACATGGCAAAACCCCATTTATAAAAATATAATATAGAAATTAGCCTGGCATTGTGGCATGCACCTGTAGGCTCAGCTACTTGGGAGGCTGAGATAGGAGGATTGCTCAGACCTGGGAGGTTGAGACTGCAGTGAGCCAGGATCACCCCATCGCATTTGAGCCTGAGCAACCAAGCAAGACCCTGTCTCAGAAACACACACACACACACACACACACACACACACACACACACCAGTCTTGAAATCAGAAGCCCTGGAGTCAAGCTGGGCCCTGGGCCCTACGGCCAGCTGTTTGATCACAGGCAAAATTACTCAAAGCCTTGACCCTGTTTTTTGTTTCTAAAACGAAGGCAATGCCTATCTTCAGAGTTACTGTGAGACTTTCTCACCATGTTGGTAAAAGTGCCCTAGCACAGTGACCACATTCTATCCAGTAAATATTTTCTGTCTTTCCCTGTTGTTCCCAGGACATATCTCAGGCTCTGTTCCTTCTCACTCCATTCCCCTTACTTACCATCAAGAGTGAGGAATCTAGGACCACGCAACCCAGGTTCAAATCCTGAGTCTGTCACTTGCTGACTGTCATCTTGGACAAGTTTAACCTCTCTGTGCTCAGTTCCCTCATCTGTAAAAATGGGGATAATAATAGTACTTGCCTCATGAGATGACAGTAAGGGTGAAATGAGTTCATGTGTATAATGCACTTAGAATAGTTCCTGGCACCAAAAAACGCGTCGCAAGAAGTGTTTCTTACTATGATTCTCGAGGACTTCTCACCTGTCCACTTTCCACAAGCCAAAAGATCAAGTTAAGCTCCACTTCCCCTCCCTCATCTACAGAAGCGCACAGTCTATGGCTACACATTCCGCCCCACCCCGAAAGCCCCAGCCCGAGTTTCCTAACGCCCCCAGCCCTATCCTTCACCCTCTAGGCCATCTTGTTCTTCCACTACCAGCACAGCCCAAAGCAGCTTTCAGCTTCCCCAGCAGCGACCTAGCGCGACCCTGGGAACGCGCCTCTGCTGAGGGGGCGGGGCGGCTCTGCTGAAGGGGGCGGGGCGTCTCTCTGACGACCCTGGGAACGCGCCTCTGCTGAGGGGGCGGGGCGGCTCTGTGACGTCACAACAGGCGCACCCCCGGAGACCTGGCAGCGGAGCCCACGCGGGGGTTGCCAGGAGAAGGCGGAGCGCTAACGGTCCTAACGCTACCGGCGGTCGTACCCCGTCGCTGCCGTCCCCCCGGCCGCTGTTGCCCTCCCTGCCTAGCTTCTACTGGTCTCCTTCTGCCAAGGGTGGTCGGCACTGGATCTCTCCCCACATCCCTCCCTCGAGGCGCCAGGTGTCGCCTGAAGCCAGACAGCCGGTTTGGGAGCGAGCCTGAGGTAGCCACCCCGGAGGGGAAGTGGAGGCAGGGCAGGGCTCCGAGCGGGTGGGAGGGAGGGGTCCTGCCCGACGCCCCTGGATTCTGAGCCTCTCCTTGTTCACAGAGCAGGGGGAGGGAAGGCAAGGAGAGCTTTAAGGGAATGTGACTGGGGGTGATTATGGCTTTCCGGCCAAACTGTGTGCGCATTTTGTACCCAGATACTATTCTACGGTTTCTTAACCGGAGGACAGTGATGGGGAGACTCAGGAGTCTGGAAACAGAGCCCTTCCCGGAGGAGCCACACCTCTGCGTATTCATCAGAAACACAGATATAGAAATAGCTTTGGGGGAATTGTCGTGAGGACCAGTGGGCATGCCTAGCACTTCATAGACTGCTGCCACTCATTCATTTCATAGCTAGCACTTCACAGACTGCTATCACGCGTTCATTTTCACTAGTATCTATTGAACACTGAGTTCCAGGCACTGGGCTGGACATCGCGATGGTGTAGTGAGCAAAAACTGACCCTTCCTGCCGTGGAGTTTGCTGGGGGAGGCACATGTTACTCGAAGAATCACACCAACCATAGGTAAGTGATGCTCTGATAGGGTATGTACAGTGGAACTGACAGGGTGGTCAGGGAAGGCTGTGCAGACCTCCAAAGGAAGAATTAACCTGTTAAGAGGGGGAGAATGCATTCCAAACAAGAGCCACCGCATCCCAAACCCAAACAGGGATGTGCAGTTGCCTGCTGCTTAGTTCCAAGTGCTGCTCCTAAAAACTGCCTCTGAAATTCTGGCCTGGAGCCTTTCATTCATGTAACTGAAGCCTTTCACTTATGAAACAGAAGGCTGATTTAGCCCATACCAATAAAACCAAGTGAGAGGTTCCAGAAACAAGACTATAGTCTATTTTAAGACCTGCATTCTTCAGCACTTGGCAGGTGTATGTTGGCCTGTCATTTTACATTGGGAGCATGTAGGTTCCACTTAAGGGGAAATTTATTGAATTGGAAGGGTTGGGGGTATGGATGAGCTCTGCATAATTGAAGAAGGTCTACTACCCAAGAACTTTAAAAATGGAAAAGAATTTTATGAAATGTTAGAATTGAGAAATGTTTAGAATGGACCTTTCTCCCACTTCTTTGAGGTGAACAAGTGGCCCATATTGTCCAAAGACTGAAAACCTGGGCTTTGGTGCCTCTTTAACTTAAAGAATCTATGATTTCAACTCTTGGAGATTCAAAAGTGCATGGAACTCCTGAAAGTAAATGGGAACATGGGAGGATAATTTGACCTGGCCCTCCTTCAATGTTTTCCATTTCTACAAGGGTGGCACTACCGTGTACCCAGTCATCCAAGCTTCAAAACTGATAGTCACTCTAGACTCTTCTGTCCTTTACTGCCTCCTCCTTCTCCTCCCCCTTCTCTCTCTTCTCCTCCTCCACCTTAACCTCCTCCTCCTCCCTCTGTAGTTACCAAATCCTGTAGATCCTATTTCCTAAATACCTGTCTCTTTTATCTCTCTCTATGACAACTACTTTTCAAGGCAGTGAAGCTCCTGAGAGTTGTCAAAAGTGCTTTAGTCTCCTAACCTGGCTCCCTGCCAGAAGCTTCACCACCCTCTCTTCAGCCCGTCCATACAGCTGTCAGTCAACGTGTGTTTCAGAGTACAACAAAGAGAAATAAATCATACAGTAATTTTTGAGCATATAGTAATTTTAACAAGCTCAATATAAAGAATTGCTAATGATAGGAATGGAGTAATGAAGGATTGGCTGCTATGTCGGGAGAGATCTAAAATATACAGGAATCACGGATATAAGGAGCAATCCTTCCCCCTGAGACAGATAATCCAAGGAGGAAACCTTTCCCAGAGCTTGGTGCAGAGGGAATGGCCACAGCTGACTGGGGAGCAGAGAAATTGCTGAGGTGCCAGGCAGACAAAATTTACTCTCTGAAACACCAGAGAAGCCATTCACACAAAGGTGACTCACTGGCAGCACTCCGCTATAGAGCTTCCCAAGAGGTGCCGGGGGCACTGCTAGCCATGGGGCACTGTTGGCCACTGTGTACTGCAGCAGTTGGGTACTCAGGAGATCACACACTGCATGAACCAGATGCTGGAAAAGCTGTGTGCTACAGAATCCCAGCACGGGAGAAACTACAAGTTCCTGGATCCTCGCAAGAAGAGCACACCTGAATTCCCAAGAGAAACCTCTTCCTCCTCCAGTCCTTCCAGTGCCCTGTACTAACAAAGCTTACCATTATGGGGGCTGGCAAGGGAAAAATGTTAAAGGACCTAGTTCAATTTTTGCATAGGAGGCAACACAAGATGAATTTGGAGCTGAGAGGCAAAAACTGATAACTGGCACCTCAAGCTGACACTGACTGTGTGACTCTTGTGCTTAAATTTTCTAGTGGCTCCCCATTGCCTTCAAGAAAAAGTTCCAAAGCCCAAGCCTTGAGCTGTATTTCCAGCCTTAGGCCCAACCACTCCTACTCTGCCCACTTTAGAACTCTGTAATTACAGTTCCCTGAACTCGTCATGTTTCTGACAACCACACATCTTTGCCTAAGTCCTTCTAGCTACATGGAATTCTCTCCTTACTCCCATAAGCAAGCATATGCTTATTGAATACCTACCCTGTACCTGGCACTCTTCTGGGTGCTTGAATACAGCAGTGAACAAACCGGGTTGTTCCAGGTCTCAGTTTAGATATCACCACTCTTTGAAAAGTATTTTTTGACCTCCTTCTCCTACCTCCAGATGTTAGATACCTCATCCAAGAGTTTTTCTTCTGTTCTTCTATATCTAGTGTAGGTTTTTTGACACTTATTATGCCTTATTTGAATTACTGATTTTCCTGTCACTCTCTTCCACTAGACTGTGATCTCCATGAAGCAGAGTGTGTGACTTATTTATTTAGGTATTTATTTAGGTATCCCAGTATTCAGCACAATTCCAATAAAACACTTTGGTTTTATTAATGATTTCCTAAGGATCACATGATTAGTCAAAAATAGACCCAAGGCCAAAATCCTGGACTCCAGCCTCACAGTCAAGAGTGCTTCTGCTTCTTCATTATAGCTTCATCTGCCCTCTGGATGTTATGCCATAACTAGCTATGAAGGAAAGCAGCCCTGTGTTTTGTTTTGGAAAAGGCCAGTGCAATGTCGAATATCATCAGGAATGGTAATGGAAACTCAAGAGAAACATAGCCCTAATCCTATATTGGAAACTATGGTGGATTCACCCCTCAGAGCCCTTGTTTGTGTATTTTGAATCTCTGAATCACAGGAATGCTATAATGAAATCAGAAGTAGGAAGGACAACCAGCCTGACCAACACGGTGAAAACTCATCTCTGCTAAAAAATACAAAAACTAGCCAGGTGTGGCAGCATGCACCTGTAGCCTCAGCTACTCAGGAGGCTGAGGCAGGAGAATGGAGATTGCAGTGAGGAGGTGGAGATTGCAGTGAGTCAAGATCATGCCCCCGCACTCCAGCCTGGGTGACAGAGTGAAACTCCATTAAGAAAAAAAAAGAAGAAGAAGTAGGAAGAACAAGTAAAAGATGAAAATGGTGTAGGGTATTATGACACTTACTCTTAATAAATAGTTATATAAGACAGGGCTAAGGTGACCCCCAAGTATGTACACCAGATCTCCAAATCAGGGAATCATGTTGTGCAACTTTATGGGACATAGTTTACATGCCAGTCTGTAAATGAGCCATGTGTCTCTAGAATTGTAGACGATGAGGTGAACATGGGGGAAATCTTTGAAATATGAGCATGGCTAAGTTAAGCAAAAGAGGTACCTATTTATTTGTTAAATAATAAACATGCAGAACTCATGCTTTCAAGAGGCTACTAGCATGATACATAAGCAAGGTTATACGACCAAGGGTTAACATTGTTATTGTTGCCATGGAAGGTTCTTTAATTAGGACTGGGGCATCTTTTCATTTACATGAGATTATCTGAGACTCCAGGAGAGAAATTAAACAATTGCACAACAACTAAAAGATCCTGTCAAAATACATGGACACAGAAAATGGTGCAGCCACTGTGGAAAACAGTATAGCAGTTCCTCAAAAACTTAAAATACAATTACCATATGATCCATCCATTCCACTTCTGGGTGTGTATATACCCAACATGATTTAAAGCAAGGACTTGAACACATTTGTACACCTATGTTCATAGCAGCATTATTCACAATAGCTAAATGGTGGAAACGATCCAAATGTCCATTGATCTATGAATGGATAAAATGTGGTACATCTAACAAAATATCATTCAGCCTTAAGAACAAAGAAATTCTCAGCTCAGGACCAGAGGTGCAATAGATAACGCATCTGATGATGGATCAGAAGGAAAAGGAAATCCTGACACATGCTACCACATGAATGAACCTTGAAGACATTGGGCTAAGTGAAATAAACCACACACAAAAGGACAAATACTGTATGTCATATGATTCTATATGATAGAGTAGTCAAATTCACGGAGCTAGAAGAATGGTGGTGGCCAGGAGCTGTGGGGAAGGAGAATAGGGAGTTAGTACTTAACGGGTACAGAGTTTCAGCTGGTGAAGATGAAGAGGGTCTGGAGATGGATGGTGGTCATGGTTGCCCAACAATGTGAATGTACTTAATGCCACTGAACCATACATTTAAAACAGTTAAAATGGTAAATGTTATGTATTTCTAATACAAAGAATATATATTTACATATGTGCAGCAAATAAAGCACTGCCCTTTGACAGATAAAATGGGTTGAAAGTCATCAGAAACAACTTAAAAGAGTAACTTTTTAAATTATGAAATATTTCACACCTACAAAATTAAATACACGATGTAAGTATAAAAATAATAAAACAAACATCTAGGCAGCAACCATCCAGCTTAAAACATAGAACATTACTACTAGTCCTGAGACCCTTGTATCTCCCTAATGACATCCCTCTCCCTCCTCCACTAGGGGTAACCACCATTCTGAATTTGTATTTATCATTCCTTACTCTTTTTTGTAATATTACACATATGTCACCATGAATAATATATTGCTTTTCCACCTACATGGTGAGAGTCCTCCATGGGGATGTCTGTGGCATTACTCATTGAGAACTGTTGCTATTGTCTTAACAATTAAAGGTTTCATCATGATGTAGTGACCCTCTTTATTCCTAATCGTCCATTTTGCCTTAAAGTATCTTTTGCCTGGTGTTAGTTTAAGGCATTTTGCCTTAAAGCATCTTTTGCCTGGTATTATTGGTTATTATTTACTTATTTATACCCTTTTTACTGTGAGTCTTTCTGTGTCTTTTTTTCAGGTGTATCTATACCTATATTTTAACTGGCACATTTAAGCCCATTTATTTTTATTGTGATTACTGATATGTATGCACTATTTACTACCATGTTATTTGTCCACTTTTCCTATGTCTTCTCTGGTCCTTTCTTGCCTTCTTTTTGATTGATGTTTTTTTAAAAAATTCATTTTTTCCTCTCTACAGATTTAGTGGTTATATTACTGTTATAATTTTTCTAATACTTTGCAAAGTCTAAAATTAATCATTATTTTATCCTCCTTTCCTTCCAAATAAAAGAAAATGGCTCAGACAGATGAGCAAAGATGCATCCCGCCGGAGCTGCCGGAAATGCTGAAGAAGTTTGCCAGAGCGGCCATCCTGGCGCAGCCGCAGGACCTCCTCCAGTTTGGGGTCGAGTAGGTGCTCCTTTCTCGCCTTCACCCCTTAGAGGACCGGCCAGGAGAAAGGGTCCTGGACAACCGCGGAGGTTGTCATGGCTGCAGCCAGGGTCGGGACTAACTGGCATCATCTTTGTGGGTTTTAGCCCTCGCATTGCTTTGATGCTTTAAAATTCACACATAGATACTACATCTAACAGGGTGAGGATGGGATGCCTCCTCTAAGCGAGCTAGATTGAGCAGTAGGATGCCAGGCCAATAGGCCGTGTCCTCGGGCAAGCAGCAAGAGTTACATGACCGTTTCACACCAGCGTCTGCACACCCACCTCCTCCCTGCTCTCCTTTTCCCAGTCCCGGTGGAAAGACGGGCTGGAATCTCCAAAGCTTCATCTGCCTTTCTTCATTCTGTCACCACTGGATGGCAGCAGTGCAGCCTGGGAAGGGAAGGTACAGCCCTGGGCGGATTGGGTGGGACAAGTACAGCTAGTTCACTCCTTTTAAGAGACACTTCCGCCTCTGCTGTTAAAACTCATACTTGGATCCAACCAAAGACACTTTGTATCTTGTCTTGGAGGAAATTATTGATATTTAGTGTTTCTCTGAACTGATTTGTTCTGCCAACATCAAGATGTCCACACAGTACACGTTGCATTCTGAGAAAGGCCAAGCAGAGTGCTGAGGTCCTCAAGCATGTCTCTGTAAACAGTGTGCCTCAAACACGGGTGCCTTCTTTCAGGAGGGACCTCCAGAGGCTGCTCAGTGGATGGAACTTACACAGCAATCGCTGCGGGCCAGGCTTGAAGCAGCTTTCCACAGAAAGCCTCTCAGCTGTGAAATTGCTTCTTAGACAAACTTGCCTGCTTAAAACTGGGGAACCAGGACTTGAGGCAGTAGTCGGAAGATCACTAGACCTCATGGACCATTTTCAGACTGTTTTTACTGTTTGATGATTCCCTGCTTAGTAGGGTTTCAGTGGGAAAGGGAGAGTAAGGGAGGCTGTTGAGAGAAAGCCAGTGAGTTGGGGAAGCGAAGATGCCCTCAGCCTGAGGCTGTGAGTGGGTGCACTGCACAGATGGTAGGGAGAAAGTGTGGACACCTTTGAGAAGACACAAAATGTCACCTTAGAGGGGCCTTTCAGAGTCTTGGAGCCAGTGCTGTTGTGTTCCTGGGCTGGATTAGGATGCAGCTTTGCAATTGGAAGGAAAACAAGCCAATGGGTCTCATAAAAAGAAACATTGCTGGGGGGTTGCTTTGCCTAGTAATGAGCCCCGTTTAGTTTTCCTTTCTAAATTTTATATATTGCCTCTAAGATTGAACTTTAGCATCAGAAGACTAATTTATTTTGACCTAATCAGATAGATAGACTTTATCTTATACGTTAGTTTCAAATCCATTTCATTGTTCGTGTGCCTCTGTTTTATAGTAAACAAAACGACATTGCTTAGTTTCGTCCGTGACATTGAGGTAAGAAGGCATTCCACTATTGTAGCCTCGTTGCTTGCATATTGTTTCAATGCTATAAATTTTTAGACATCCATGAAAACTTTATTTGCAGTTTAACCACAATGAAAAAGGAGAGCATGACCTAAGGGCCCCTCCATTCTATCCAGACATGAAAAGCACCTCTCAGATGGTTTTACGTGACTTACTTAAAACCTGTAGCATTTTAGATAATAAAACTCTACAAAGTATTTCCAAGACAAAATATGTATTTAATTCGTTGCAAGTAAGAATTTCCCTACATACACATTTTCAACAAAGAAACCTCTGACTAGCCATCGGCAGGGCAGGTAACACAAAACGTATGTGGTTCACGGATAGTCAATAACCAGGCTTTTGATGGAGACAGACCCTGCCATACAGCACTGGTGACTCACGTCAACGGCTCATGTCCGTTCCCTGCTGCAGGCAGCCTCTTTTCATCTTTTGCCAATTTTGAATCAGAACTCAGTACTTGTTCCACATTGCCCCAAAACAAAGTCCACTCCACAAAATATTGAGGAGCAGGCAGATTTGACTGAAAATTTTGAGGGAAGATAAACAGTTTTCTTTCACAGGCTCCACGTAACTTAAGATTGTCTCAAACCTTCTTTGGCTTGTCTTCTCTCCTGAGCCTCGCACAGTGCCCTGCCAACCCTGTCTCCCTTCCCTCTTGAAGCCCCAAGTCTCACCATCTCCAGCCAGAAATTCTTCCTGATTCACCCCTAGGACACTTCCATCTCTTCCCCTTCCCTCCTTTTTTGTTTCTTCAGAGATGGAGGTCTCACTGTGTCACCCAGGCTGGAGTGTAGTGGCACAATTACAGTTTGCTGCAGCCTCCAACTCCTGGGCTCAAGTGGTCCTCCAGCCTCAGGCTCCAGAGTCACCGGATTACAGGCCCTCGCCACCATTCCTGTGCTGTCTTCCCCTTTCATATGTACATTGCTCTAGTTCTCTTCCAACTTCTCTTCCCAAGATTACATGTACATATGTAATATATTATCTGTGTGTTCTAAACACTCAGATATGACTAAAAAAAAAAAAAAAAAAAAAAAAAAAACACCTGACCTCTAATATGCCCCAGGAATCGAATACTCAAACTTTTGGTTCTTCCTCATCCTTAGAGAAGAACAAAGCTTTGTATTCTCAAAGCACTTCTCTATGCCCTAAATGGAAAGTAACATATTCAGGCTTTTCCCACATGTACATGAACTAAACACACTGACACACAGAAGCCACTTAACAAGGGTTCCCTTCTCTACCTCCTTTCCTCAGAAAAAGGGGGAAGGATTGCTAGAACAGCCAGAAGTCCCTGGTGTATAGGATGCTCCTCCTACTCTCTTTTTTTCTTGTAGTTATTTTGAGGGCCTGTGCCGTGGAAAGAGTTCTCCGGTGAGAGAGCAGTCTGATCAAGTCGGTTTGTGTAACTGGGCAGAATTAACACCTGAGCTGTTAAAGACCCTGCATTCTCGGGTAAGGGCCCTGCTGCAGCATTGAGGGAATGTAGGAACAGTGTTGAGGCTGGGTGGGCACAGACAAAAGCCCACTGTTCTTCTGACAGTCAGCTGACCACTTAGAACCACCCTAAAATACACTAAACCATGGACTGAAAGTAAATCTTCCCTTAGAAAAATGGGAATAATTTTGAAATAGGCTGTAGGCTGAGTCGTTGGTGGGGTCATCCCAGATTTCCTTGAAGCTGGCAGAATGTACAGGGGTTCAATGCAATGCTAATCCCATCTCTCCATAAAGGTGCAGGTCCTCAGTCACTCGGCAGTGTTCGCCCTTCCTGATCCCGACCAAAATATGATGCCAGTCACAGTTTGGGGAAGGGTATATTTTAGCTCCCCAGCTATCCTAGGTCCAGACATAGCTTTTAGCTTTTAAGGGAGAGGCTGCGAGCCTCTTCACAGCCACATCATCCTTGGCAGCTGCTTGGTGAACGGATGCATGGGTCCGGCTTGAGAAAGTTTGTGGTTTGGCCAATCCCCAGGAAATATGGTTGAGCATCACCATACCCTGCTTTATGATCCAGGACAGAGAGGTTTTGGGTGATTTAGGCCTGGCTTGGCTAACTGCCTTGGTCCCAGAGGCTTAGTATTTCACTAGAATCAGAGGGTCAGGAAAGGTGTTGGAGCACGTCATCGGGGCATCTGTGCCTTTGTTGCATTGGTGGCCAGCAACCACTCATCCTCCCTCCCTTTATCCACCAAGTACCTTGCACAGTGACCATGACAGAGCTCTAAAGTACCTGGGATCAAGCAACATTAGGCATCCAGACCAGATCCCCGTGGGTCAGCCACATACCCCGTATCAGTCCTGGGAAAGCATGAGGGATGCACTTGAGGTCTAGAGCTAAGAACTCAGCGCAACTGGGAAGAAAGAGACCTATGTCTTGTCCTGGTTTTACCATTAATTAGTGGCCTCAGGTAAGCACTCTAACCCTTGGTTTTGTTTTCAGACTCTTCTATCTGTCATATAAGGAATAAAACAGTTTAGGAATATGATAGCAGATAAAAGCATCACAAGAAATTAAAATATAAATGTGTATCTTTTGCACAATTGTGACACCTAAAGTTTAAAAATTAATAAATTTCAGCCCTGGGATTTGCAAAGATAACTGCCACATAGAGCCATCTTGTACCTTCCTAACACGCCCTTCCCGCCCCTTCGGAGATGTGGATCTGGCTTGGGGGTGGGGTGTTCCCCAGGGTCTTGCCTCAACTTCTCCTACATCCTCTGTGTTGTGTCTGTCCCCTGCCCTGCAGGTTGCTGGCAGACTGATCATCCACGCAGATGAGCTGGCCCAGATGTGGAAGGCGCTGAATCTTCCAACAGATCTGTTTAATAGTGTGATGAACGTGGGTCACTTCACGGAGGAGATCGAGTGGCTGAAGTTTTTAGCCCTCGCTTGCAGCGCTCTGGGAGTTGTAAGTTAGCTTGACTGTTTTTTGTTCCTGAAGGGGAAAGCTCCCTCTGGGCCTGGAAGGGCAGTGCATCTGTATACACGGTCTACTCTCCAGAGCTGATGATAAACATGCCTCTTCTCAGCTTGTCCTTCTCTTTAAATCAAGGTCATTTCAGTGCTCGTCAGGCAGAAGCAGGGAAAAGAGAGAGGGAAACACTATCATCAGGCTCTGGGAGAGTTGACTATAGTGTAGTTTTGGATTATTTATGAATATTGTCCTGAGATTTATTTTAACTCTACTCTCTCCATTCATATTCCCAGAGACAACCAAAGCCAGCTGTAGAAAAAGACTTCCAAACACCTAGAGTATATATCAGTAGACACTTTTAAAAAGGGGTACAATCTTATAGAAAGCTACTGTGTAACACACAGAATTGGATGCAAAACTCAGACATAAAACAAAAACAGGAGAGATGAGACTATTTCTGAATTTAGTCATGACATCTCCGTGCATGCAGGATGTTTACGCAGATTCATGCCTTTTCCAAATTTGACTCGTTTGATATTGGAAAAGACATTTTACTGTTCTGAAGCAAAAGATGCTGAAATCAGTTTATATGTATAGATATTTAAAGCTTGAGTATCTTATATGTGGACTTCCATTGTTAAACATTGTTAAAATCACTTAAAATGAATCAAAAACAGGTTTTTTTTAGTAGAATCCCTGAGATACATACAAGTTTGAAGATTTTTGAGAGAGTAACTGCCTCCACCAAAACCAAATGGTATGAAAAGGTAGTTCGAATCATTCAGCATTTCTAAACATCATCTTGTTCTTCTCAAATATGCGTGGAATGCATATTTGACAGTTTTGTTTCTGAGAAAACTTAGCAGAAATATTGTACACCAACTTTTCCTATAGATTCCCCTACAGCCTTCATAACAATCATTTCTTTAGAGAGAACTAAACTAAAGGACATTTGTGGCTTTTTTTTCCTTCATTATCCTTTATAGCATTTTATACTGAATAAATCACAATCCTCCAAGGAGGAAAGTAAAGGAAAGAGCAGAGGCCTATGACTTTTCAATCAGGACTGGAGAAAACAACAAACGGGAAGATAAGAAAGTGGATTTATTTTATTAAATTCTCATAGGGTTACAGATTTTTACACACCACACTTGGAGACGTTTTGGGGGAAATGTACCTTGAAAGTTTTATCTGTAGTTAATTCTGATCTTCTTGGTCTACCTCACCCACAAAGGGTCAAATAAGAAAATAAATAAATTCAGTCCAGTCCTGAAACTTTAGTCTAATGCAGTAACTGAAACAGCCTAAAGGTAAATTTCCCAGTGTCTCAGGTTTTTCTTCACTGTGCTCTCTTCTCCAAGAAGGCAGCTGAATGTAGACAGAGAGAGGTGACTCTAGGACCACAGAGCAGTCAAGTGAAGGGTTTCCCACATCCTCAGTCTTCTCTGGCATCTCTGGTCTCCATGGCAATGCCCATCTGTCTGGTCACTGGCTGCTTGCAGCTTAAGTTTTTGGTCTCTTATCTGTCAGATTGGTGAAAACCTGACGATGCCTCCCCTACTGGCTCATTTCAGTTCTCAGTGGTGTTCAGGGCCTCCTTGAGTCTCTGCCAGGCTCACCCATCTGCTCCCTGGCTCTGGTGGTTTACTTCACAACCCTCACCAGTTTGTGATGTGACTCAGTCTTTCCCTTATCATCATACCACACAGTAACAAAGAGTGACTTTGGAAAGTCATTTTCCAACCCTCCCTCTGCTTAGCCCACTGTGTAGATGTTAGGTTTCCTCTGATGTACCTGTCTCCCAGACTGAAGAGGGGAAACCATGAGATGAATTGTATCTTTTTACTTCCCTTCTAAAACAGGGAGGTGGGATTAAATGTTCCATGAGGTTCTTCTACCGCTGACATTCTGTGATTCTATCCTCAATTGTCTGCTTTCTCTGAGATACCCTGAGACATACCTCTGAATAAATACACTCAATACTTAATATTTTTTAGAATGAATTATGTGGTGACATTTCAATGAAAAAAATTCAAGCTTTCTAGAGTCTTAAATTGTTCCCACCTCATTTTATAAGAGCAATATTTTTGTTTTCTTTCTTGTATCTAAACAGATCTCAGGACTATTGCCTGGAAGAGTAACTTTCTCCTCATTTTATCTAACTTTTTATAGACTATCACCAAAACTCTCAAGATAGTGTGTGAGGTCTTATGTGACCATGATGGTGGGCCACCCCGGATACCTTTCAGCATGTTCCAATTTCTCTACACGTATATTGCCAAAGTGGATAGGGAGAGCTCTGCATCACATGTCAGCCGGATGCTAAGCTACATTCAGCAGGAAGTGTAAGTTAACTTTTACAAAGGAGAGGTGAAAGAATACCAGGATAACAAATCTAGTGGCCCAAGATAGAGCGAGATTATTATATTATACTGCTCTGAGAACAGAAAAGTATTGTGAGGAACATGAAACATGGATCTGAAAGAAAAGGGGAAAGGGAAGGAGAAGAGGGAGGAAAAGAATTATATAGGACAATAATTCCTTGAGTGCTACTGAGACCACCAGTAATGACAGCAGCAGCACCTGAGAATATGTTAGAAATGCAGAATCGCAGGCTACACCCTGGACCTATGGAATCATAAACTCTAGGGGTGGGGTCTAGGAATCTGTGTCTTTATAAGCCTCCCTAGTAACTCTGACTCGTGCTTTGCTAAGATCAGTGGAACAGAAGTGGAGGAGGAGGAGCAAGAGGAGCAAGCAGTCAAGGGTAAAGAGAAAAGGAGGCTGGGCATGGTGGCTTACACCTGTAATCCTAGGATGGGTAGACAGCTTGAGCTCAGGAGTTCAAGACCAGCCTGGGCAATATGGTGAAATCCAGTCTTTACTAAAAATAGCTGGGTGTGCTGGTGTGTGCCTATACTATTTAATTGGGAGGATGGCTGGAGCCCAGGAGGTGGAGGTTGCAGTGAGCCAAGACTGCACCACTTACTCCAGCCTGAATCACAGAGCCAGAGCCTGACTCAGAAAAAAAACAAAGTTAAGAAAAAAAGCATCAACAGCAGAATTTGAAATGAGAGAGTTGTTTGTATATTGTCTTTCTTAACTGTCAATGAACTAACTGCAGATAAACCTTTTTCCAAACAGAATTGGTCCTGATGGTATAATCACAGTGAATGACTTTACCCAAAACCCCAGGGTTTGGCTGGAGTAAAAGCACAATTTTGGCAATTTTAAGGGAAGATACAGAGATGCCTGTACTTCAGAATGACTGAAACCCATATACCCTCCAAAATCAATTTTCTTGTACAACTGGTACACACGAATAAACCATTAAAAATATGAAATCAGAAATGTATAAATTAAGATGTGAAATTGTTGGAACAAAACACCTTCATTACCAGGAGATTAGTATTCCTTCCACATGGACACTGAGTAAAAGTGGCTGACAAAGTATGGATAGAAAATGCATCTCCAATCAAAGCTAGACAGTCAGATTTTTAAAAGGTAGAATGTTAACCAGACACAGTGTGGTGTTCTGTGATTGTTAGGCATCATTTAGATGAGTGTCCTTTATGTGGTCAATTGAAGTTTTTAAGAGTTTATTTCTCCATTTGTTGGTACTGTGCTAGTCATTCATTCATCCTCTCATCAATATTTATTGAGGTTAGCTATGTGCCAAGAATAGGCTTGCCAGAAAAAATACAGGACACTAAGTTAAACTTGAATTTCAGACAAACCACAAACATGTTTTGTTTTGGTTTTTGCTAAACCTGGCAACATTCCAGGAATTCTTCCGGTTTCTGAGCACATACAAATAAATAATATCTGAATTCTGCCTTCAGGGAGCTCACAGTCTAAGGCTAAGATAAGATATGAACATAAATCACTTTCACACAAATGGCTTCGAGAAGAACTAACAGTATTAGAAAGTGTCAGTGTCAACGGACTTTTCTGAAACCATATACAAATGTCATGAAACCCACTAGAGAAGATCCCCTACATAAGCCCAAGACCTTCTGACAATGTCTTAAAGATTTTCCTTTCTCAAAGGAAACAGTTGAGATTAACAGTCTGTGATTATGGCTCTTAATGTCAGGTATGCCAAGAACTGTCCGGAGTCAGTTCCTTCTATTTGTAATACTGTCCCCTCTTAAAAGTTGCTTTCGCTCAAAAAATCATGTTATGTTATATGCATATATCTCTCTACAACAATTGAGGAGAAATTTGTCTATTAGTGTCTAAAGGTAAGCGGCGATTGTGATTAGATGTTACCATGGTCCTCGATTTCTGACTAGAGTGAAACAAACTCTTCCCCCACAGCACTGGGCTGCACCTGCAGGGGATGGGCAATAACTAATCCTACTGGCTGTCTACCTTCTAGCCAAAGTGGCCCATCATTTCTGTCTGCTCTGGAACCTAAGGCTGTTTGAGAAGGCTGAAGCACTACAGGTGAAACCTGGCACTGTAATTAATCAGGATTAGAGAATGAGTGAAATCCTTTAACCTGCCTCGGATTCTTGGTGTCAGTTTCTGCTTCACTGTGGCCAAAGGACTGACATATGGTCTTGTCTGCAAATAGGGAATAACGGGGTAGAGAAGAGATAGTCCAATTTGATAGACATTAAAATAACAAATTAGGTTCATAAATGTAACAAAAGCAAAAGGGTCCTTTGCACATTTGGGAAAACAGGTTGAAATCAGAAACTAAGTCCTGGTAGCCTTGAACACAATCACTCAAAAGTGAGGCTAATAAAATTCCAACAAAGTGTATACTGGACACAGACATGAAGCTATTGGTGCTGTAGCTATCTGTGCTTACCAAGACTAAGCACAATTGGCAATACCATTGTTGCAATGCCAATTGCTCTTCTTTTAAACCACCACTTTGGTGTGCACCATCTTCCTCCTCTCCTGCCCTGGCAATGCTTGCTCCAAGCTATTGACACTGCTATGCTACAGCTGCTCACCAGGGACGGCTTATTTATAGCACACCTGTCAAATCAACCTGCAGTCACCCCAAGGATGGAAAACAGCTTTGTGCTTTGCCCTCTGAGTTATGCTGTATTAACAATATTACAAACACTGTATTAATGATAATAGCCAACATTTATTAAGCACTTACCATGTATAAGGCGCTGGGTACAGTGCTTTATATACTCAAAATTTTCCTTACAATATGACCTTATGAAGTCATTGTCTCCATTATGAAGTCAGTGTCATCTCTAAGAAACAATCTTAGATAAATTAAGTTGTTCAGTGTCACTGGTGAGAAAGAATTTGAATCCAGATCTGTCTGACTCCAAACCTATGATGGCTTATATATATCCTCAGGGCTTGTCTAGGTATGGATTCCTTCCATTCCCCTCCCCCCCACACCTGAAGTGATCCCTGGGACAGAGAATTACATGCAAATAGTTTATTTAGGAGGCAATCTCAGAAACAGTGGAACAGGGATAGGAAGAGTAAGATATTACAGTGAAGGGAAGAAAGCCAATAAATAGGGTGTTATCCAGCCAGTTACCCCCGTATCCCAATACTGCTGAGGAACTCTGGAAGACAGCACAGAATACATCTCAGAGTTATCCTAATCAAGGGGGTCAGGAAGCTCATCATCGATCACTGGATAATCCCCACCTGTCACTGACTGAGGGCTTCTTCCAGGGGCATTAATGTTCTGCCTTTCCAGCTTGCCTCAGCTTGCTCCTTTTGCTCCAGAAAAAAAATCTCTCAGACAGGAAGACATAGATGTTCACAGTAAGAAGCCACCCACATCTGCTACACTGCCTTACAGATATTTTAATAAAACAAAGTTTTAACATTTTAATCACTGTTAATGTTTCTCTTTGGGTCAGGTACAAGTCTTCAGGATCGGCAGGGCAATAAGTGACTGTCATTATGCTGTATTAAAATTTACACCTGACCCACAAACATGGCACATTGTCCCCAAACATTTCTTCCTTGTGATAAGATCATTCTAAAGGGGGACTCTTGATCCTTGCTGCCAACAGATCCTTGTCAGACCCATCCCACTGGCTTTCCTATCATAATCCGCAATATCTACAGAGTCCTAGAGTGACCCCAGTTAAACTGTCAAATGAAGGACCTTGTAACATATGGTTTATATTTCTCCTTTAAAAAAATTTTCAGGAAGCAATAAAATCAGGATTTTATAAAGCAAACACAGTGGGCTCTTTCTTTCCTAAATTAAACTGTTTTGATTAAAGTGAAGACTGCAGATACATAAGCTTCAGTGGGAAATGCAAAGATTATGTCTCAATTCCATTTTGTCTATGCTCCATGCCCTTCCTCTCCTTAATGCTCTTCTACCAGAGACCTACCATCCCTAGTTAACTGACAACTTCCAGGATCATTAGCACCCTGCAACAGAAGGAGCTGGACACCCCAGTATGGAAGGCTGGTTTCAAATTAGGTTAGAATAGGAATCTTAACCTGCAATCCTTGGAGAGGCTCCTGATCGCCTCTGATAACATATATATAACTATGTTTCCAAAATGTGCTCATTAGCATTTTTTCTGAAGAAAAAAGTATAAAGCTTTGAGCAATTTCTCAAAGTTGTATATTATCTCAAAAGGCCAAGAATCTCTAGATTCAAAATAGCCCCAAAGAGCACTAAGTGGCTTGGGGAAAGGCAGCAGCACACCCTCTCAGGTCTTTCCAAGCAGAACTGAGTTCATGCTCCCAACATGTGGCTTCTTTTTTTTTGAGACGGAGTTTTGCTCTTGTTACCCAGGCTGGAGTGCAATGGTGTGATCTCGGCTCACCGCAACCTCCGCCTCCTGGGTTCAGGCAATTCTCCTGCCTCAGCCTCCTGAGTAGCTCGGATTACAGGCATGTGCCACCATGCCCAGCTACTTTTTTGTATTTTTAGTAGAGATGGGGTTTCACCATATTGACCAGGATGGTCTCGATTTCTTGACCTCATGATCCACCCGCCTCGGCCTCCCAAAGTGCTGGGATTACAGGCTTGAGCCACCGCGCCTGGCACATGTGGCTTCTTATCCACAGCCTCTTACTTTTTGAATCTTAGATTCTGGCCATAAATATGTTTTTTTTTTTTTTTTGAGACGGAGTTTCGCCCTTGTTACCCAGGCTGGAGTGCAATGGTGCGATCTCGGCTCACCGCAACCTCCGCCTCCTGGGCTCAGGCAATTCTCCTGCCTCAGCCTCCTGAGTAGCTGGGATTACAGGCATGTGCCACCATGCCCAGCTAATTTTTTGCACTTTTAGTAGAGACGGGGTTTCACTATGTTGACCAGGATGGTCTCGATCTCATGATCCACCCGCCTCGGCCTCCCAAAGTGCTGGGATTACAGGCTTGAGCCACCGCGCCTGGCAAATATGTGTTTTTAGTTTAGATCTTCATATACTTTCAACTTTGGTCATTTCCTATAAACTGGAACATGGTCAAACCTGAATAGAGAGACCTTCACACTTCAGAGGTGAGTCAATTGGCAAAGTCATTGGTCCAACGTGCTGAATTATGAAAGACTGGATAGATAAGCAGAGTTGTGTATCCATGTTACTAGAGGGACTAAATCTCCAGACTAGGCTCAAAGGGCTAGTCCTGGATAATCCTGAGTTTCAGACATTCAAGTAGCTGTCAGCCCTGATGCACCAAAGCAGTTTAAACAATGGTTGATTCACTGATTTATTCAACAAATAATTAAGAAATTCCTACCATGTGCGAGGGATTGGGCTAGGCACTGGGGACACTGCTCTGAACAAGGTGAGGTCCCTGCTTTCATAGAGATTAAATTCTACTTAGTAAGACAGACATCACATAACTAATCACAAGTTTTTAACTATGAGGAATGATGCTACTACATAGTAGTATGGGGCACGCAGCTAGTTTGCAGGGGCAGGACAGAGAGGTTTTCCTGAGGAAGTAATATAGAGCAACTTCTGAAGCCACAGACAACTCAGAAAGATGTACTGCAGCCCACACGTCTTTGCCAAGCTCCAGACTCAACTATCCAGTAGCTAACTTTTCTTGGATGACTCCAAAGTACTCCCTAATTTAACATCCAAAAATGACTTTCCTGGTTTGCATTTTTTTTTCCAAATGAAATGTTGGAGAGAAATGAGTTCACAAGCTTCCTTCCTAAATGTGGATCTCTCCCACCACCCACCAAGATACAAAACCCAAAAACCAGGGTCAACAAATACCTCCCCTTTGCCTTAGTTTCCAACTCTGACAGCAAGTCCTCTCCATTTTACCTCCTATGCATCTCTCAAATACGTTCTCTTCATATTCCCTCACCACCACCTCCCTTAGATCCCCTCATCCCTTCCCAGCTACCAATATATTTCATCTGGACTTCCTATCAGTC